GATACAATTAGAGATTGAAGGCAGGGTAGAAACTCGAGAATCTCCCTCAGCCATTCTGGTCGCGGGCCGCCATATATTTCAGAAAGGGCCGGGGGCATATGGAGCGTATGGGTGAGCCTTCGCACCTCAAGACGGGCATATTTCAAGGTCCTCCTGAATCGTGTCAACGCGACTGGTATCAGGCATCCTTCTGTCAGCGGAAAACCGCAGAGAGAGAGCTAGACTCTCAAGTCTCACCATAGACCGCATCATTTTCCGTTCCAAAATGAGAGGCTGGATCACCCCAGAGGAAGGGCATGAAAAGGCCGTGCCATTTCTGGCAGACGAGCGCAGCCGAGCATAGGTCGCTTGATGGGATGTAATGAGCGATTATAGACCAAGCATCTCTGGCTGTTGCAGATTGATACGATGGCGGGACGATGTCCATCTTCCGCTCAGCGTGGGGCCCGAACAGATCAGCGTTCTTTGTCTCAATCCGACCGTCAAGCTTGGCGTTGCATCTCTTGGAAGGGCCTGTTATGTATAGATTCTCGGCTATGCTGACGTGGAAAGGTCAAAACACAAGCTGATGATTTGGATGCGAAGAGCACCTGCCATCTAGATAATGAGCGCTACTAACATGAGGAATCAACCCTTCTTTGGCCCCCTCCAGTTCACGATCGTCAGTGAGGCTGACGCTGGGTCTCCCTCTTCGGCTCTTGGCTAGTGCTGGAAGCCTGAAACACAACTACCACGGATCTATTCCGTACAGCACGATGCCATCAAAGCTTAGGCTTATCCAGGGATTGGAAACTGAGTGCCTACCACAGACATGTCGTAACTTTGTACCCTTTCCATTGATGTAAGAGGTTGAAGGAGAATATTGAAATACTGATTAGAATACCAGAGGTACAGGAATGAACTACCTTGAAGGGAGGAGACGTAACATCATCCGGTAAATACAATACAGTCAGATTGACACATGACATCATGCACCAATGATTGGCGCCTCTCTCCGGTCAACATAAACATCACCGGAAGAGGATTATCAGGAACAGATACTTTCGTATAGTCTCGTCCATTTCAATCACAGAGTTTTTTGTATTCAGTTCCTCCCAAGGCCGACATGGATATCTGGCAACGGAATATCCGAATGATGCACCAAGTCGGCGAGTTTCTCGATCTCGACTCCACCAAGTCCGACATGGTTGCCGAGTTCATTGCTCTCATCCAAGCTGTACGAGAAGGTCTCATGCAAATAGACGATAATTTCCAAATTCCCGACGCTCATATCAACACGCTGTTTCTGACCAAGCTCAAATCTCGTCCGCAATGGAAGGAATGGGCAACGACCATGCTACGTGACCCGCACATAACCGCTGCCAACTCGACCGAGCACGTAACGTTCCAGGAGCTCGCAAGCTTAGCCACTGAGCAGGAAAAGATCATCCAACAGGGAGACGCAAAAGCGCGAAACGCTTCGGATAACGCAGCTTCCGTTGCCGCGACATCCAACGTGCAAGCAAACCCGAGAGCGCTTACACAGGACGAGATCAATGCGTTTGTCGTCAAGCAGATGAGCCACGATGGAAGATATTTGCCTCAAAACGGCAACATCAAGGGACATCAGAAGAGGCCTAGCCAGGAGGAGATCAACGAATACGTGATACAGCAAATGCGCAAGGAACAAGAGCGAAAGACAAGGAACCGCAGTCAAAGTCAGCCAGAGCCAGAAAGACGGAATCATCGTGTACGGCCAAACGCGGTACGATGTACCTTTTGCGGTGACACCCATCATCAGTCGAATAATTGCTGGCGCCGATGGAGAGTTGCTGTTGAGGCTCCACAGGGCAACTTTTTGCCAAAACGAGTCGAGTTCAAATCTCAGATTCCTGGTCAGCCGCCTATCTATCGTTCCGGATTTACTCTGTTTTGAACTAGTCGGTTTCGATCGCACCTCAAACATCGTTATTGATTTATTTCATTCCCACTGTTGACCGATGAGATTATGCTAGCATGGCGTTAGGGCTTGGGGTGTTTCATCTTAGCAATTTGTTGGACTTCTTTACTGACCTTTGATGTAACTACATGAGTGACGAGATGACAACGGAACGGATCATGATATATAGAGAGATAAATCATGCAGGATTAATGAATACCATTTCTTTCGAAAACACGAGATTCCGAAGGTTAGCACCTATAGTAGACCTGCAGGTCTGTGGTAGGCCAGGGTTGGAAATCCCAACTTCCGATTCTCCAATTCCTGAAAATGAGCATCACCCTTCAGGGCGGCGGCAATCGACGCAGTATTGTCTTTCCCGACATCCATCTTTCGAAGTCGTGCTTCAATGACCACACAAGCATCGGCCCATGCGCAGATAGTCCCAGCCAGACCCTCACTCAGAGAATAGGGCCTATCCGGCATACGGTAGACATATGTCGATGATTCCGGAGAGGCATTGTAAGGGGGTGTTTCCCGCGCATGGAGCAGTAGCGCAAGAGCTCTAGACAGAAAGTAGTCTCCCGTGAGCGCTGGTTGCGGTTGTTCGACCGTAGTTGTCTTTGCCCGTTCCCCGTAATTCCGCTTCGCAGTCTCCACCAACTCCTCGTCATACTCGCAGCTGTCGTGCAAAAGCAGCAATGGCCATGCATTGCCCGTAATGCCATGGCAGAGACTCCCGCCTTTCGAAAGCAGCCCTTCCTCCCAGACCCTCTCGCTCGCTAGAGAGATAGCCTTGTCCCATTCTGGCTGCCAGAAATTTGAAGCAAGGTAGCGGTTCCTCCTGGCACAGCCTAAGAGAAGTAATATAGCGGGACTACCATGGCAGATTTGCACCAATGGTGAAGTTCGCTGAGTGGACTGACGAGGCGGTATAGTAGTTGGAAGATGGCCGTTGTTGGCAATGCATAATCTACAAAGGCCGAGGATGGTATCTGCTATCCAAGGGAAGTAGTCGTGTGAGGTGCCGTCGTTGAGCTCTTCTGTTTTGCACGCTAGTAGTACAGCAAGGATACCAGCTTTGCAAGTTAGCTACTTTAACCGGTCAATCACTACTCGGCAATACATACTCATGCCATGGACCCTGGAACCGTTAGCACAGTGCATGCGCTCAAGACAGGCGAAGATGAATACTCACGCTCCTAACCCATAACGACCTTCCTTCCATGTCCACATCAGTGGCAGCGCATCCGTATTTCCGTAAGCCTGGACGTAGTCCCTATGGCCCTGGCGTCCAGCCTCAACTATGACTTTAATCAGATGCGGAACAGATTCGAAAGCTGGCTTCAAAGCTTCCGTGCTCTTTTCATCCAGACTCAGAACTCGGATGTTCAGAATGGACCATAGCAATCCAGCGCGTCCATAGAGGACTTCATCTCCTCCCATGTTTTGATTAGCCTGGGAGACGATATGACCATGTTTAAGTGCGATTACGACCGCATCACGTAGTGTGTCGACATCAGTACCAGAAACGGCATGGCCTAGTTTGGCTGCTGCTTGAACGCGCATGACAGTCGCAGCTAGCGGGCTCCTTGAACCCAGAGGAGATAATCTCCCTGGCACAAGAGGAATCTTGGGACCATGGCTTGGGATTCTCTCGGTGGCCAACTTTCGATAATCTGGGGAGCAAGTCTCCCCTTCCTCTCTTAAGGACGACGCTTGATGATTAAGTCGGAGAAAAGCGACAGCAATGCCTATACGTAAGAGAAGTCAGTGAGTCTATACACTCGCGCATCCGTCAACTTCGGACATAGACGACAGATATACCTAAGACGCCCATGAAAAGGCCAACATTTCCGTCGGGTTCTGCAGGACTACCCTTTTCCACCAATTCAGCCCCGCGGCGGGTAGCGGAACGTAGTTCCGTCAATGCATTGAGTAAATTCGTTTGGTTTATCTCAATCGGCTCGAGTGTGTTTTTATAGAACTGCGGAGCTTCTACGGGACTCATTTTAGATATTACCGGGTGTGATATTCTGATGCTCTAAGATGGATGTGAAGGTAGACACAAGGAGTTAACCGAGCCCCAGACTCTGTCTTACCATGAGCCAGTCGTCATAGAATCGGGGTTGAGCTAACCATGATGCTGCACATAAAAGGTACCTAAGTATGCATACCTAAGGTTAGAGCAGCGCTTGGGTATGGAAACTCTGAGCATTTAAGCTACACGATTGGCTTGAAAGTTAGCAGGATCCATAGATCTACATCAGCTCTCAGACCACCTGCGGCCTGAGCCATGACCTGTCTGAAGCCATCTCTTTTGCTCAACGTGAAGAGTATGGATTGACAGTTGGTGTCTCGGTGACTTCGTCGTGTACTGTAGATAACGTTGCGAGGAAAATCGTTTGATATATTTAACAACTGCGTGGCAGCTTCTGTACCCACACACGGAGTATAACAAGGAATATATATTGGGAGTTGTGGAGCTACACCGTCTTGATTACACCACACACAGCTCTGATAATCCTCGCTCATCGATGTAGAAAGTTATCTTTGTCCCATGACTTGAATCATGTCTTCTTGAAGGTTGCTTGTCAGCCTGAAAGATATAACTAACCATCACAGTAGCGTTTGTGCCTAAGGCCCCAATTAGACACCTCGATATAGAACGAAATACTGAGATCGGATTAACAATGTCCCGCTGACTCAGCGAATATAGTGCGGGACGACGATTTCTCTGCTGCGTTCACATCATTCCGGACTCCAGAATACACGGCTGGTCCTTGAAGTGCCGCTTCAACGACTCGCTGGACACTCGGGTGAGATTTATTATTATTATTAGAAAGTCAGTGCTTCTATAATCGGTAATGTGATTGCCACAGCTCCTCCTCCAGTCGAGCTTGTCTACATGAAAGGCAGCCTGCTCTATCACAATGCCCATTCTATCTTATTCCCCTGCAGTCTGCCTCTGCAGGCTCGATCATTTATCCGTTCCGTGACCATTTGTGGTCTGTTTAGTTGCTCAGCCGACTAATATGGTAAATAGTCTCGTGACCGGCCGTGACCGGCCGAGGACGCCATCATGCCTGCTATTCATGGAGATTTACTGGCTGCGGTGATAGCAACCGATAGAGACATCCCAGCCAATATCACTCCGCGGCAGGTCACTCTAAGAGACCGGGTCACTGTTGCGACCCTAGTGCCTATTTCATCAGCCGATGATGTGCCTCCCTCCTTGATGCGCTATCTGTCTGATCAGTTGAATAAAGAGATTGCCAAGGGTGACACCTATGCTATGGTTGATCCCATCCCGCTGGAGCAGTTTGCGACGTATTGGTTTTTCAACTTTGGCGCCATCATGCTACTAGGCGACATTAAGAGTGTGTATGAGATGAAGGCCATGGAAAGGGCTGGCGCGGATTGGACCAAGACCTGCTTGGGCAGCTTCAATATCCGGCCGAATTACCCCGGACGTAGTAGTCATGTCTGCAATGGCATGTTTCTTGTGACAGATGCGGCGCGCAATCGTGGTGTTGGTCGATTGATGGGAGAGGGCTATCTTGAATGGGCTCCTAAACTGGTCAGTATGATCTCTACTTGAGCAGATCGACGATGTCGTGTCCGACTGCGAAAGCACCACTTGTCGCAAGGAGAGCCGGGATAGAGTTCGAAAGAGTCTGACTGTAAATAGGGTTACACATATGCCGTCTTCAACCTGGTTTACGAGAGCAACGTGGCGTCTTGTCGCATTTGGGATGCTCTTGGCTTTAAGCGGATCGGTAAGGTGCCAAATGCTGGCAAGGTGCTTTCCAGCCCCGGTGAATATGTCGATGCAATCATCTATGGGCGCGACCTGAGTTCTGAAGGCGATGACTCATTTACGCAAGATCGCTTCGACAAGATCCGGTATTATCTCAAGCATTCTAAATACCCTAGAGGTGCCGATAGAGCCGAGAAGAGTCGGCTGAGAAGTGCAGCCACCCACTACAAGCTTATAGAGGGGAAGGACGGCGACTCAGATAAGCTGATGCTGAAAGACAAAGAGGTCGTTTCAGATCCCCAGCAACAATACGAGATTGCTCGAACTATTCATCTCAAGCAGCATGCAGGAATCAATAAGACGACTGCAGCCATCGCGGTGAAATATCACTGGGTCAGGATTAAAGAGACCGTCAGTCGAGTCATTCGAGACTGTCCTCAATGCAAAGAGACGCTCAAACTGCCACCGAGTAACGGTATGCTAATTCACGACGGCGCTGTATCCATGGAGAAGTTGAGCGTCAACGAGAATGAGACGAGCTTGTCAACACCGAGCACCATGGAGACACCACAGTTGATGGACAATAACTCCCTTGATCCTCACCAAAACCACAACCCGTTTGCTCAAACACATCCATCGGTCATTCAGGGACCTGTAGATTCCATCACCGACTATACAACTATGCCCCTCGATCCGCAAATCATTGATATCAACCAGCAACTTTCACGATTCCATTCCCACGATGGCTTGAGTCACCATCCCCATGACGGCTTAGGCCACCACTCCCATGACGGCTTAGGTCACCACTCCCATGACGGCTTAGGTCACCACTCCCATGATGGCATGCCTGACCCATACACGCATGGCCATCATAGCTTATCCCACTCGAACTTTGAAGATGCCGTACGGCATCATACAGCGCACGACTACCATATGATGGTTGAGGACGCTTCTGATACAGATGCTGCTGTGTTACGCCAGGAAGCACTCGGTCTCGTGCCTCCGCAAGTACACGAAGTTCATCATGATCATGACTTATTGTCGAAGTACGAATATGTTGGACCGCCGGATGATGAGTTGGATTTCAGCTAATGTCATTCTTTTGATTCTGGGTTCTATTGGCGTTGGAGCGTTTGGGTGGTCAAGCTTGCATAGGTTATTACCCGGTGTGGTCATAGATACCTGTAAATATAATCGGAACATTGTGATACCAGCTTTACTTAAAGCAAAGCTTAGATTCAGTGAACGATGATATACTTTCTTATTCGATTTCACATCAATATTGTTTGTGATATGCTATCGGGCGAGGGGTAGAATACCTAACCATCAAATCAATAGGGTTGCGGAGCGAGCCTTTGATTGGTCACCGCCTCAGTTTGGCGACGGGGGGTTTCGATGAGGAGCTTTGGGAAATTTTGGTCGAGAGCACCCCGGAGCTGTCAATCTTGGGATCGCTCAGGACACTGACTACTGATCTTCACTTTTTCTTGAGCCATCACTGACTTCTTCGTCCCCGTCTCTATTTCTCTTCTGACGATCACACGTTTTATTGCCCAGCAAGATGGCCTTCGCAGGCCAAGCACCCACCATCATTGTGCTGAAGGAGGGTCCGTAGCCGCATCGAACCCCCGTCATTTGTCCGTCTGAACTGAACTGACTGACGATTCTGCATTTGTTTCAGGCACGGATACCTCTCAAGGAAAGGGCCAGATTCTTTCGAATATCAATGCGTGTGTCGCAGTGCAGTCTACGATCAAGAGCACTCTCGGACCGTACGGAGGAGACCTGTTGCTCGTTGACAGCAATGGCAAGCAGACTATCACCAACGATGGAGCGACAGTAATGAAAGTACGTTTTGTTGAGCCATACATATCAGGTTCATACTTGCTTGAAGGAAAATGACTGATCGCATCTGGCAACAGCTTCTGGATATTGTCCACCCCGCCGCTCGCATTCTCACCGATATTGCGCGATCCCAAGATGCCGAAGTTGGCGACGGAACAACATCGGTCGTCGTCTTGGCTGGTGAGATTCTGAAGGAAGTGCGGGACCTTGTGGAGCAAGGCGTCAGTTCACAGACCATCATCAAGGGTCTACGGAAAGCGAGCGCTGTGGCCGTCAACAAGGTGAAGGAGATTGCGGTGGATATCCTCGATGCCGCGGGCAGCGAGGAGAAGAAGTACGAGACGCTGCGGAGGCTTGCCGGTACAGCGATGAACAGCAAGCTGATCAAGCGTAATTCGGAGTTTTTCACCAAGAGTAAGTCGCTCTTTTTCTGTCTGATGCTCGGGCGGAAATGGGACGTGGTGGGGCGAAGGCTGACATTGGGGATGTAGTGGTCGTGGATGCCGTGCTGTCGCTTGACCAGGACGATCTGAACGAGAAATTGATTGGTGTCAAGAAGGTCACCGGTGGTGGCCTCCAGGACTCCCTTTTCGTCAACGGTGTCGCTTTCAAGAAGACCTTCTCCTACGCCGGTTTCGAGCAGCAGCCCAAGTCTTTCAAGAACCCCAAGATCGTGTGCTTGAACGTGGAGCTCGAGTTGAAGAGCGAGAAGGACAACGCGGAGGTCCGGGTTGAGCAGGTTTCTGAGTATCAAGCCATCGTCGATGCCGAGTGGCAGATCATCTACAACAAGCTCGAGGCCATCTACAAGACCGGCGCCAAGGTGGTTCTCAGCAAACTGCCTATTGGTGATTTGGCCACGCAGTACGTTTGAAATGCACGCTCTACGTTGTTGACGGTACTTTAACTAATGTCTACGCTGTCTACAGGTACTTCGCTGATCGCGACATCTTCTGTGCGGGTCGTGTTTCTGCGGACGATATGGACCGGGTGTGCCAGGCGACCGGTGCGGCGACGCAGTCGACATGCAGCGATATCCATGACCGTCATCTGGGTACCTGCGGCTCTTTCGAAGAGCGCCAGATTGGTGGTGAGCGTTACAACATCTTTTCCGAGTGTCCCGGGGCCAAGACCTGCACGCTCGTGCTTCGTGGAGGAGCCGAGCAATTCATTGCGGAGGTCGAACGGAGTCTGCACGATGCTATCATGATTGTGAAGCGTGCTCTACGCCACACAACCATCGTTGCTGGTGGTGGTGCCTGCGAGATGGCAGTGTCGCATTACCTGCATGACTTCGCCCAGAACGATCCCTCCAAGCAGCAGGCCGTCATCCGGGCATTTGCCAAGGCGCTCGAAGTGATTCCCCGTCAACTCTGCGACAACGCTGGTTTCGATGCCACCGACATTCTGAACCGACTCCGTGTGGAGCACCGCAAGGAGAATACCTGGGCTGGTGTGGACTTTGACAACGAGGGTGTTCGGGACAACATGGCCGCCTTTGTGTGGGAACCCAGTCTGGTCAAGGTCAACGCTATCCAGGCCGCTGTCGAAGCTGCCTGCTTGATCCTCAGTGTAGACGAGACAATAAGTAAGTTGACTCTGGCTATCTCGTGTGTGAATTCCTACTGATCAACATCCTTTTTCTTGCGAACAGAGAACGAAGAATCCCAGCAGCCACAGGCGCCGGCGCGCGGTCTTCCCCCTGGAGCTGCCCAGCGTGCCCTTGGAGCAGGACGTGGACGCGGCATGCCCAGACGGGGACGGTGAAGCAAAAGACTCGAGGTGACCTCTACGACAATGGTAGACAACCTTAGGAAATGTGATTTATGTGGATAGTGGTTGTGTGGTTATGTATGGAGGATGCTGAAGCTATGCACGTGCTAGAACTTAGCTACAGTATTTTTTCCTACAATTGGACGTCAAATTAAACCGAACGAAAAAGAAACAGGCACTGTGGGCACGCATTCATATCCCACTGTACAAACCCATAGGGTCGAGATTTCATAAGGCTGAAAGTGATGGAGGATAATCCGTCGGCCTGTCCGAGCCAGGGAAGATCATGGTTCATGGATGATCACCAGTCTGAGATGTAGCGAGTAATGTGTGGCAGTGAGAAGGGACAGTCTGTCTAACCCTTGATTTAATATATTCTGACAACAGATTTAATTAAATATTGAATAATGATATGAGGATATGCATGACAAATTGCTGTTGGACGGGGGCTGCCGGCTGAGCGCTAAGCCATTGCTCATTCTTCTTGGGGTATCGGGGATGCCGAGGAATATGGATAACCCCCTCAGGTAAGGTACAGTTCAGTAAACCATTGATTGAAGAATGGGATGAGAATAACTACAAGTAGTTGAGGTCTATTACTGACTATTATGATATTATTTAAGGTCGTACAACCACAGTGGTTGGAGTAGATGTCATTAATAATAGGTAGACTGAGCGGAATCATTTCTTTGGCGCCTCCGGAGTAAGTCTTCATCATGTCGCTAATTCACTAGATCCATAGTTCTTTTACTGCATCATCGTCGGTTGTCTCCACTTGTTGTCCCGGCTCCGATCTGCTCTTTTTATCTTTTATCTTTAGCTTTCGGATTGTTTGCTGCTGCCTCCACCACCAGCGCATCCCGTGTCTGACTTGCCCATCTACTTCCTGCAAGTCTGCAACCACCGAACGCTGAACTGCGCCATCTCTCGTTCCAGAACCGCTTGTGATTCGTCTCATCTCACTTCTCCTTTCATCACATCTTCGGTCTTGCTGCCTAATCTCCCTCGTGCCCCGTGGACTTTTCTACTCGCTCGCCAGGAATGTCCTACTATCCGCCTTATTCTGGCCCACCGGGCTACCCCCCACCACAGCAGCAACAGCAGCAGCAGTACTCGTATCCTCCTAATTACGGATCTCCGCAACCTTACCAGTAAGAGTCTCTCAAAGTCTTTCACTGGAGTTGAAGGGTTCGTTGACTGACCGTTCGAAAGACAAATGCAGAATCATCATCACCAACAATCTTCCTACGGCGGCGGTTACCCCGGCCAAGCGTACCGTGAGCAACATCCTCCTCCGAATCCTTACGGGTATGGCCAGCCCTCCCCTCAGCCTGGTTACGGCGCGCCTCCTCCACACAATGGTTACGGTGTATGTCCTCATCAGTGAAGATCACTGTGAAAAAGATGCAAGTGTGGCTGACTTTGTATGCAGCAACCGCCGTCGGGATACGGCCAGCCGCCGCCACCTACTGGAAACGCGGTGTACAGTGGAAGACAGCCTGGTATGTGATCGCGTTTGGTGCAGGAAGAAATGCATCCGCTTTGGAAAGTGTCAAGTATGCGGCCGCTGACACTTGCAACACAGGCATGAACCAGTATCAGAACCCCTACTCGCACGGCCATCAGGGTGGTCCACCACCACCACCCACTGATCCGGTCGCGTTCGGACATGGAGCTCCACAGGGATACAGTTTCCAGTACTCTCGATGCACTGGTAAGCGCAAGGCCTTGCTGATTGGAATCAACTATTTCGGGCAGAAGGGCCAGCTGCGTGGTTGTATCAACGATGTTAAGAACATGTCGACGTATCTGAACCAGAACTTTGGCTACGCGCGCGAGGACATGGTGCTGTTGACGGACGACCAGCAGAACCCCATGAGCCAGCCTACGAAGGCTAACATCCTGCGGGCAATGCATTGGTTGGTCAAGGATGCGCAGCCGAATGATTCGCTCTTTTTCCACTACTCAGGTGAGACCGTGCTTCGACCGGGGCTTCTCACGGAAAACTAATATCTTGTCTATGACAGGTCATGGTGGTCAGACTCCGGACTTGGATGGCGACGAGGAAGACGGATACGATGAGGTCATCTACCCGGTCGACTTTCGACAAGCCGGTCACATTGTGGACGACGAGATGCACCGGATCATGGTCCGGCCACTACGCCCAGGAGTACGCCTGACCGCAATCTTCGACTCGTGTCACTCGGGCTCCGCCTTGGACCTCCCCTACATTTACTCGACACAGGGTATCCTCAAGGAGCCCAACCTGGCCAAGGAGGCCGGACAAGGGCTCCTGGGTGTGGTCTCGGCCTATGCGCGCGGCGACATGGGCGGCATGGTGTCCACCGCGGTTGGGTTCCTGAAACGCGCCACCAAGGGCGACGAGGCCTACACGCGCAGCAAGCAGACCAAGACCAGCCCGGCGGACGTCATCATGTGGTCCGGCAGCAAGGACAGCCAGACCAGCCAGGACGCCCAGATCGCCGGCCAGGCCACCGGCGCCATGTCCTGGGCGTTCATCACCGCTCTCCGCAAGAACCCCCAGCAGAGCTATGTACAGTTACTGAACAGTATCCGGGATGAGTTGGCGACCAAGTACTCGCAGAAACCGCAGCTGAGCTGCAGTCATCCATTGGGTAAGCACTAGCCCTTGTGTTTGGTCTCAGATGTAAAGGGAAACATCTCTAACGGAAGTAATAATATATAGATACGAACCTTCTCTACGTCATGTAAATAAGTTACGCATAATGGACGCTGTATTCTCGCTCGGTTTGCATGGGAGAAAAATGAAAAAGGCGAATTGCCTGCTGATTGCGGATTCCCGCAATATCCCCTTGTCTATTGTCTTCATTGTTTGTTTACTTTCGCTTGCGATGGAGTATTTCCTCAGTACATGAAAACTTCGACCTGTAACTTGTTTGTTCCATGCATAGTCTGGTTCACTAGCTTGGAGACCCTGCAAGGAGATGGCTTATGCAGATGCATTTGTATATGATTTCATGGTCGTAGTATATCATCATCTATCTATTGTTTCAAGGTCATAATAGAAACTTTTGTCGTGACGTAACATTGCGGACTTCATGCACGATTTCGGCAAGTTAGAGAAGCAGATTCGGAGAGATCCTTTCAAACACCGCCGTGCGTCGGCTACCGCCAGGCCTGAAGCTGCTGCGAACATCATAGTGCCAATCCGCTAATCCCCAGGCCCGATTGGCCCGATTCGGCTGTGATCAGACACTACTGTGACACGGAGGGGCTAGGGATCTCTTTGACGAGGAGAGGAATCCAGCGGAGCAGATAGTATGGGCTACTAGGACGGAAGCCACCATTGTGGGGAACGGGATCGAGATAGTAACGAGCATGAAGTCTACCATCTCTGTGGGGCATTAATGACTGTCCGCGAGAACGATGCGCTGAAGGTCTCTTGGCCCTTGCGCTGCGACGCGGCAATGATGCCCGTTCGATCTGTCACAGGCGTCGCATTGATGATCTTATCAAATTCCTCGTCGTCGCTAGCTGCTGACCCGGACTCGGCATCTGAATCTTCTACTGGCGTTGGATCTGGTCGGGAGATCTTCTCGGGTTGCGGCTTGTCCGGGACGGAAGGATTCTGGAAGGATTTCGAATTGAGAATTTTGGCGCGGATCTCGGCCATTTGGGCTTCGTCTTCGGAGTCCTCTGAGATGGCGTAGGGGTCTCGTTCTTCCTCCGCTTCTTCTTCGTCCTCGCCCTCGTCCTCCTCGTCCTCGTCTTCGTCGTCTTCTGCGTCTGATTCCGCTGGTGCAGCTCGTCTGTTTGTATTTCCTACTGTCCACATATCGTCGGCACCGCCCTCTGCGCGATTTTCCTCGTACTCCCGCTCAATCTTGGCCAACCACTCTTCCTCCGCTTTCTTGATGTCCTCCTCCGTCGCACAGGCAGCGTATCGTTTCAACAGTGCCGAATTGATCTCGAGGAAAGCTTCGCCGTAATTGAAGTGCTTGAGCACCTCTCGCGCCCAGTCTTCATGCCCGCAGATGCAGAAGCAGGCTGCCAACGCTTCGACGCAGTTTAACCGCCAGGGCCGTCCATAATTCACCGTGTTGGCTGCAATAAGATACGGTACTGTAGATCAAGAAATCATCAGCTCTTTGTCCCGCAAGAAGCGTAGTGATGACTAGGGACAAAGCACTTACACAGTCTTTCGCACCGGCCACCGATTCGCGACCAAGGGACTTCCTTGACCCTCACCCAGGAACACTCTACCACTGCAGCTCCGAACTGCTCTAATAGTTCACGATCGGCCGGGGAGAGAATCTTCTTTGCATTTGGCCTGAAAAGCTACCCGTTAGTATCGCCATCATGGAGGCGAGGAAGAAAAGAGACCTACGAGATCACCACCCCGGCAAACTTCTGGCCGATCGCCAGTTCTCGCATCAACCCAAAGTGCATCAACCTCTTTCCAGAGCATCGCTTCGGATCGCAGTGTCCTAAATCCCAGCAGGCGGCCTTGAAGGCAGGCCTGTTTGTAGTCGAACCATCGTCGTCATCGCGGGGTACTGGGCGTGGGCGGGGGTTGGAGGAGAATTTCTTGCCTCCTCGTGAGAAGCTGTCTTTCTTGTGACGGACCATTATTTGCGATAGCTTGTTCAATAGTAATGTAAGAATAAATCGGCAAAATTCCAGTATGCGGAGTAAGAGTGATGGATGTAGGAGATGTGATTGAGAAAATCTACCAACGGAGGCAAGACGCCGATGAGGGCGCCACACGTGGAGCTCGGCGGGCGGAACTAACAATCATAGAGTACCGCACCCTCTCTCTATCGTCAGCCAGCACCAGGCAGTCAAGAATTGGCGGTATTCCAACTCATCAAAACATACTAGCTAGCTTTTACAGTCTGTGCAGTGTGTCCAGCTTGGCTACTACTTGAAATTGTCGCTATCCCCCCTTTAACTTTCTTCCTATTCCTTCTTCAGTCGTCATCCTGGAGGCAGCATCGGCACGTATGGCAGCT